CCAGTTTTGCTCCGCCCGCTATCGCGCGCATCACACGGCAGGCTTTACTGGAGGACCCATGGAATATCAGCATGAGGTACTCCATTAACCACCTCACTATTGAATGTGTTAGACCTTTCCCAGTTTCGCTGAAGTCATCGAGAATACGCGTGATAACGTCTGGAGCTGAACTGGCATATTTATCTCACAACTGTAAACATCCAGCATTCTTCTTGAATTAAGATAATTTAGCGGTGAATAGGATTGCTGTCAGTCTCAAAATGAAAATGAAATATGCCTATTTACATAAGTGAGGAGCTAATGGAGCGTTCATAGTTGGCGATCGTACGTGCGATTAGGCGATTAGGCGATTAGGCGAGTAGGCGAGTAGGCGATTAGGCGAGTAGGCGATTAGGTGATATCTGGATTGTATGCAACACTTTGACAAGATCTGCTTTTACCAACTAGTAGTCTAGTGTATGGGTGAGAAGCTAATATGCATGTGCGCCTCAATTTTGACGACTAAGGAGTGCGCCGTGTGCAAATCGCCTAATCGCCTAATCGCCTACTCGCCTACTCGCCTACAACGCCCTCAGGGCGGAACATACAAGTCGATACGTATGTAGTCTTCACCGCCTAATCGCCTACTCGCCTAATCTATACGTATATTTTTCATTTAGACTAATCGCCTAATCGCCTAATCGCCAACTATGAACGCTCCATTAAGCTTATCATTTATTTACACTCACCATTATTTAGAACCACGAAAGGAACTAGCGGTTCAATGAGTTTTGGCTTCTTGATATTGCATTAGAAATGAAAGTTATCATTTGCTGAAGACTTATTTTAGTTTATGCAATCGCTGCTATTAAGTAAGGTGGTACATTTAAAAAGGCACAACCCAGGCAGAGGTCGTGTGAACTCTTCTCTTCGGTCAGAAGTATAGAACCCTAGGGGACAATCACAAATGTGGCGTTCACGTGCACGGAATTCGACCGACAAGAACGCTTTGGGCTTGCAAAGTAAGCTGCTCGAGCTGCAGCGAACGAGCTCTCTTATCAGGCCGTTGTCTGGTGCTCTCTCATCTGATGCGCTCTCTCGCCCCATACTCTCCTCTTCGCGCTTAGTCTCTCGTTCCTTTAGCACAGCCAATTAGGAAGGTGAGTGAGCCCTCAACCTGAGCGTTTTCGACGGATTCTTTTCCTTTTTTCTTCACTGCCGGCCCACTTGGCACCGATACATTCACATTCGTGTGCAAGAGCCACACCAGTGCGATCCTGGGGCATGCCTTTAAATTAAATGTGTGCGACGTACAATAGTTAGTAAGGATGGGGGTCTAAGTGTTCGCGCAAGCTAGTAACGGCATCGCGACGCTTGCGAATGTTAACCTTATCAGTTGCTATCGCTTCCATCATGTACCACCAATGTCCCGGGACCACCACATAACACTTGTAAGTATAGACGCTCTAGTACCAATATGAACGACAAAACGAAATTGGCGATGCTCGCTTTCTAGCCCCTCTTATCAGCTATTATCAGTCGTTATCAGTTCCTATCACGTACCACTTGTGTCCCATCCCACCCCCTATAACATATGTAAGAACCATGGCGCTATCATTGCTGTGACTCGAGCTATGAATTTCCGGTCAAACACACACACACACACCAACAGACACACGCTAGCCGCTTATATATAGTAGGACCAGATTAGTCCCCCGTCAACCGCCGGGACCTTCCTTTGCGCAAGCTTTCTATCCTCCGCTATGGTCCCTTCCTCCTGTGACACCAACACCTCGTGGAAGTGACGCGTATGCAACACAATGGTGTTTCAAACAGTAGAAGGGACACAATCATGATATGACGGTAGATTTTTCGCTTCCCTTCCTCATCCTCCCTTCCTCTCTCCACTGCCCTCCAGCTGCCACTGCAGCACCATGTGGAATGAACGGAAGTGTGCTAAGCAGGTGTTTATATAGCCCTAAGAGTGTTATCACAACTATC